GGCCATTTTTATCCAAAAAACTGCAATAATTGTATGATTTCCGCACGGACTTGAACAAATATTGCACAAAAATTGGATGATCTTTTTTCATAGGGCGAAAGATCACGCACGTACATGCAAATTATCATAAGCATAATGTTATTAACGTTATTTATGCAATAAAATGATGAATATCAATATTTTACTAAAAAGATAATGGAATTATTCCTAACAATTTTGAAAAGATGGTATAAAATTATTATTTGTTTGAAAATCTTTAGCAACTCACCCAAATATTACTGCTTAATATGAACGTTTATAACGTTAATAAACTAGTAAATAAGAAAATATGTATTAGTTATTTAGTATATACCGTATATAGTTTTGAATAAAAAATACAATTTATTTGTTAATTTTTTGAATCACATTTTATAAATATTTTTAGGTTTCACCCGTTCTGATACTTCTTAACACACATAATAATCGACCTTTGTAAGCCAATTGAACAATTTATGATCCATGTCAATGTAAGTTTGGCATTCATAAATTTATCCTGAGAGGGAGAAATTTATCTTTTACAGTATGATTAGATAAAGTTTGTTAAATGATTAAGCAAATTGTTAAAATTGAAAAGTTGTAACTATGTACTTTCTTATTGTTGAAATCATATTTTAATAATATTTTAATATTAAGTATTTATTATGCTCTTTAGTCTTTTAATAATCTACTTTATGTAATTTGTCATGTGTCAGAATTTTACCATAATTTTCTGCCAGTAGAATCAAAATGATCACGTTACAATCGTTACATTGAACAAATCAACAAAATGGCGCAGCGAAGTCGTTTATATTTCATATGATGTGCAACTTGTGCAACAATATAAATGACGAAAATATAAATTTTACTAAAAAAAAAAAAAAATTCTTTATCATGACTAATGAACGTTCAAAAGATAATTCTTATTTAAAAATTATACTAAATTAATTTTATACTTTAAAACTTTTGAATAAAAGATCTAGAAAAATCCTTACCTTATTCTAATATTGAAGTCATTGTTGGGTTAGACTTTGGAGCAACTTATTCCGGATTCTCTTATTGTCATGTATCTAATAAACAAAATATACGTTTAAATAAAGTATGGTCTTGGGAAATCGTTCAGTTTAAAACAAATACAGTTCTTCAATATGATGATGATTATAATAATGTCGTACTTTGGGGTTCTCCAGCTTTAGACGTAAAATCAAATCATCAAGTCAATAATCAAAATTGTAAAAGAAACAAACCTATTGAATTATTCAAATTATGTTTTAACAATCTAGATGAAAATTTAAAACCAACCCTTCCAATTGATTACAAAAAGGCTATTGCTGATTATCTTAAAGAAATCGGAAAGGTATGAATCAAAATTATAAATAATTTATTCCAAATAATATTTTTTATATTAAATTAATTTTACTTGAATGAAATTTCCAAGGTCATTAAAGATACACTTGCAACCCATTGGAATGTTGATTTCTTTGAAAATGTTTTATTAGTTCTTACTATTCCTGCAGAATACTCAGAAAAAGATTATGATATTATGAGAGAATGCGCACATGATGCAAATCTCATTAATGATAAATCTTCGAAAAATCTACAATTTATTACAGAACGTAAGTAATGTGAGAAGGATCTAAAAAAAAAAATAGAATTTTAATCATAAACTAATTATTTTTATTTACAGCTGAAGCTGCAGCAATTTATTGTATGGAAAATGAATTGCAGGAGGATGAAATAGGAAGTAAGTTATTGTAATGAATTTAATTATTTAAAAGATTATTTAACTAACTTGACTATTATCAGCGACTTTTATTGTTGTCGACTGTGGCGGTGTTACTGTTGATTTAACCGCTCGCAAATTAATTGGAAATAATCCATTGCAGTATCGTGAAATTACTGAGCGTATTGGGGACTTCTATGGAAGTGTATTTATAGACAATGAATTTATTAAGTTTTTACGTGAAAAACTTGGAACTCGAGCCATAGATCTATTAATGGAAAATAATTATGATCAATTTCAGTGTCTGATGCAAGAATTCTGTCAACATATAAAAGATCCTTTCACGGGAGATGATACAGAATTTAATTATACACTGGATATTAAAGAAAAAGCTCCGCTTTTATTGTCACATGTCAATAGAAAGACCAAGAAAATCATGAAAAAAAATGAGTGGCTAATTAATATTAATTACGATGACATAAAATCAATGTTTGATCCTATAATTGATGGAATTATCTGTTTAATACATTCACAACTTTCAAATAATAAAGACGCCTGTTCAACAATATTTTTAGTTGGAGGATTTAGCGAAAATAGATATTTACAAAAAAGGATTAAACAAGAATTTAATCGTACGGTGAAAAATATTTCAGTTCCTGTTCAACCTATAGCAGCAATTGCACATGGAGCAGTAATTTATGGATTATCTATAAAATCAAATGGTTTGAATAATAATTCAGTTGAAGATAATAAGAAAAATATCGATTCTTCGAGAGTCCTTAAGTATACTTTCGGAATTGATGTTGACTCCCTTTATGGAAAATCTAATGATGTTGAAATTCATAGATTCTTGGCTTTGGCCAACCGAGGTACTGCAATAGAATTAGACCAAACCTTTTCTTTTAATTTTGAACCTGAATTTAATCAAAGAAGTGAAAATTTTGCAATTTATTATACAAAAAACGACAATGTACAACGCTGTGATGAGCCAGAAGTGGTACTTCTTGGGGTATTAGAAATCATTCTTCCAGGTATATTATAATTATTAATTACTAAATTTATGGAATTGAATATTTTTATAATTAATATTTTTCTTGTAATAATTATTAGATGTATATAATCGAAGTATCAATTTTGGATTAACTTTCGGTCAAAAAGGAATTACTGCATTTGCAAGGAATGAACTTAATGGTCAAAATTATACGACAACATTTTGTTATCCAAATAATGTATTTTAACATTAGTTATTAAATTTTAATAATGCAATATTAATATTTGGGATACTAACGGTCGATTCAGTTTAGTTATGATTAGCAATCTACAGATCTGATTAATACAATACGAGAAATATGAAATAAACTGTCTGTACAAATGGACTATTCAGTTGATTATATAATCGCAATGTTAATACACAAAAAAAAGAAAGAAATTGAATAATAAAACAAATAATTGTTCATGATGTACCAGCATTTTTTATCAATTAACTAGATTGTAAATTTAGAAAAAATACTGGTATAAAAAAAAATGAATTTACGTATAAATTACCATAAAAAGTAAGATTTGAATCTAAATAATTGATAATTTACAAAATTTATTATTATTTGAATCCTTTTTTTAGACATCTTCAATTTAAGCGGATATATTTTTTTTTAAAAATATAAAACAAATTAACATATAATAATAAAAGCAATATATTTCTTCGACGGATGATTTGTCTGTCTATTATTATGAATACATCTATTATTATGAATACATAATAAGTTTTTTCAGACGATTTTGATATCCGAAAGGTTTATTAATAGGAAGACGTTGAATACTCAATTTTATATAAAAAAAATATATATATAATTTAAAAATGCTAAAAACAAAAACCAGAAGAATAATTTTTTTGTAAAATGTTATTAAAAAACATTTTATTTAAATAAGGTAAATTTTTAGTAGAAGTAAATTAATTTCAGTTTGATAAAAACTTTTGTTTAAAAAGTCTATCTTACGGTTAAATTCTCAATGATTAATCGCATATGGTTAAGATAATTTCTATAACATTTTACGCAAATTTTTGCCCAAAAATCTATGATTAAAGTCTAACTTGGTTGGATTTGTATTATTTATTTCATGGGTAATTTCCTGGAGCGTGTCACTCATTAAATACTGTATTAACTATTTTAAACTTAACTATTTTAAACTAAAATTAGTAATTTCCCGGCTATCTATATGAGGCCGGACAATAAGTAAATGAAGATTCCCGGTCATTTATACTCAGCTAATCACTCGCAATTTTGTATGAATGTATGAAGGTGATCATGAGTGACACTTAGTGCGACAAGGGATTGGGATAATTATTTTCTACATAGAATCTAACGTACAATCATCATTATTCTGTCATATGTAAGGGCAATTATTCTATATAGAATGCTAATCTACGCATAGTACAAATAATGAATCGTGTGTTACTTCTACTACGTTTTTATTTCATATAAAATTTTCAAAAGTTCATATTATTTGTTACTTAAATCAAATTTTTCATTGTAAATTTCTAGTGAGTTGCTTTTGGAAACGTGGTATTGACAAATGATGACGTAATGGCCGCAGCGCAATCATATAAATAGTCTAAGTGATTAGATCACGAAAAATAAGTGCCTCAGGTCCTAGGTTCGATTCCTAAGGTAAGTATAAGTTTATATATATTAAATATTATTAAAACAGAAACACGTGACTTTCTAATTAACGAGATGTTTTTCTATCACTACTTCTGAAGAAAATCATTTCAAAAAATTAGACTTCAAATGGGCAAATATTAGTGAAATGTTAAAAAGTTTCATAATTTTATAATTTTTTTTATGATATAAAATTTTAAAAACACCGCTATTTAGTTGTGGTACTTTTTAGACAGAACTCTTTCTTTTTATTTCGTTCATAGAGAAAACAACAAAATATTTGTATAGGAAAAGTATGAAGGCAAAGCGTGTCAGGAAATAATTATTCCTACAATTTTATATTAACTTATTTTTAAGACAAAAAATATATATTGTATGTAGTAAAGTTTAAAAGATCTTGAAAAAATATTGTATTGTAATAAAGAAAACTCTTTATAGGACCTTTGATTAGAGAGAACCATTGAAAAATGGTCGTGTAAAATTTGTATCAAAAATTTGCGAAAAGAGTCCCTATTTCGAAACACTTTTTTATGTACTATATGAAATCATTTAAAATAAAAATCATGTGATTTTTCCTGACCAGCGAAATTTTGCCAAATTTTTATTAATACATGCAAAAATAAATACCCTAAGGGTTCAGGACGTAGCTCATATCGTAGTACACGACGAATTTTCTATGCTACATACTTATTTTTTCAAACGATATTCCTCTATTTTAGCCTTTTTTTTTTTTAAGTTGTGTAATGCGTCAGTTCTTTTAAACGTTATTTTTCCAGTGTTGCAATCACACAAATCACACAAAGCACATTAGTTAAATATGGTCAATTGTACTACCAAAAAATTACGTAACAATAATCACAATCTAGTGTGTAATGATAAAACCGTATTATTCAAGATCAATCAATTGATGTGACAAATGTGACTCATCACTCATATTTATAAATATTACTCATTCTATCTACAATACATGAATCTATTAATTCACGTACTGATATATATACTCTAACTCTCAAACTCTCATAAAAACTACTAAATCCTTTTTTCTCCAAACTAAAATTTACGAATTTCAGCAATATATAGAAATATTTTATCATGCTTTTTTCGAAAAAAAATGGCTCAAAAAAAGCCCGCTCTTTTTAAAGCAATGTAAAGTTTATATAAGAGGAATTACACGAGCAAGAAAAAAAATTACTAAAAAAACTGTTAGAAGATGAACTGAAAGAAAAACAAAGAAAAGTAGAGAAAGTTTTTTTGAAGGTAGGTTGTATTGGGTGGTATCCTCCAGTCCCTATTCAGCTTTTGCAACCCCGTTTACGTACTATACAACATTCTGGACAACACACACTTTCAACACCGGGCACTTTCACTGACTTTTGAGAAGTTTTTGTAGATAAGCCACTTAAAGAACTTGATAAGCAAATATCAAGATTGAATTGCAAAATTAAGATCTGTTGTGTTACGAAAGATTAACGAAAGGAGTCAAGAGTTCAAGAATTGGGGTGAAGTAGCAGAAATACTTAGCCTGGAGACGGATAATAAAGTTTTATACGAAGAGACTGGTAATGAACAAATATGTACAAAACTATTAGTCAATGGTTTAAAAGACTTTGACTTGACAATATCAGATCTTGATCAACTGCTGCTCATGTATGATGAAAGTATTTCCGAATTTCACAATAAAAAAACAACTCTCAAAAATCTGCCATATGCTCAAAGTAGAGTTGGCCCAGACAACCTTTCCAAACCAAAAAATGTAACTACGAAGAAAACAAGCCTAAAGGTAGGTTGTATTGGGTGGTATCCTCCAGTCCCTATTCAGCTTTTGCGACCCCGTTTACATGATTATACAACATTCTGGACAACATTCGCTTTCAACACCGGGAATTTTTACTGACTTTTGAGAAGTTTTTTGTAGATAAGCCACTTAAAGAACTCGAAAGGCAAGATGAAACCGAAAAACGTAACTCCAAAGAAGAATTTGCAGATAACGAGCTGAAGGACGTAACACTGAAGTAGCCTATATAATCATTTTATCATTTTACCATTCTTTTATTGTTTTTATTTTGTAAAATAGATTCAACTTTGATGTGAATATTGTAAAATTCATATGTAAGTGCCGGTCATCTTATTGAATCTCAGATTGGTATTGTCCAGAATGTGGTTACTGCAAATGTTGTAAAAAGAGGTTTAGTAATAAAAAATCTGGGCCTCATATATTTTATAAAGGCAGATTAGTTAATATTAGCAAAAAAAAGAATACCACAGTAACGTAACATGACTGAATATTATGATCATTCTATCATTTTTTCGTAATGAACTCCAAAGTTTATTTATTATAGCGACTAACTTCATACATAGTCTAACTCTAAATTTATTTAATTTATTCAGTACAACGTTTAAAATTTCTGTTATTATTATTTGACTTATGTAAAAATAATCTGTATTTTGACGTATTTGACATTAATAATAAAAAAAATTAACGTGAATAAGAACGTGCGTCCAATCATATAATAACGTGAAAATTTTTTGCAAAATGTATATAAATATTAAATATCATCTAAATAAATATACTGATTGAAATTTCTGATAATTGGTGAAACTTTAAGAGTATCTCAAAAGGATTGTTGAAATATTTTGATGAAAATAAAATTGAATAAAATAACAGATTAGGTTGTTATATGAATCTTTATTATCATTATTTTTATTGAAATTATGTCTTTAAACGTTCAGATTAGCAAAGAACAAATACAATTTGAATTTACATTTAACAAAGAGATTTTAATTTTCATCGTTACGCGAAATTGATCAACGGCGCAACGCGCACAACTATTAATGTTAACACAATAAGTAATATTTTTTCATCCACCCATCTACTTTGATATTCGAATAATTATTTTGATTTTGTTAAATTACGAAGGTAAAATTGTTTCTTTTATTTTTTTATTTATACTTGCAATAACTAATTTCATTATAATCATAGAATTGATAAATCATGATTAACAATGACTATGTCTCATTAATTCGGCTCAGGTTTTCACCATTTTAAATTCAGTTACAATGGCGTATTCTCCACTTTGTGGAACACGAGTCACTCCATAAATCCTAGCGGTAATTAGTGTGTCCACTTTGAAAGAATTTCAACCTTTAGATTAAAAAATGATGCTATTCATCTCACGCAAAAACTCTGTGTTGACATGAGTCGCATTTCGAAATTTCTTTCCCTATAAAAAAGAAATGTCCAGAAATTGTATCTAAAAATGTCCGGGTGCATCCAGAAAATGTCCGGAAATTGTCCAGATATTGCAGGATTTAGGACGAAAACCAATTTTCTGAATGTTTGATTGTCCGGAATTT